AATTTATATTAAATTTTACACAATGTCTTCATCCTATATTTTGACCCCTTTAACAACGTTATTATGAAGCTATATTTTGACCGCTTTAACAACATTATTATGAAGCTCAGGTATGAATTCAAGAACAATCACAGTGAATGGGTCCTCTCAGTCAAGCCTGATTTAGGTCCCGAAATAGCAGAGCGAGTGTGGAAAGCTCTCCATACAACTGATGAAAAAATAGATATATGCTATTCATTGAAGATTGAATTGCGCGCTGCTCTCAACGCTTTATTGGGAGTATATTCTCTCTCTCTTTTAATCCTTCAACGATCCAAGTTATTTATTGTGCATCTCATGATATCAGTAGCAATGCATTTATATCTTCAACCACTAATGCTGTTATATTTCTTCATTTACAAAATGCATAGGATTCTAGCATCTTAGCCATGCCTACAGTTCCCGACCCTCCACCAAAGTTACAAGTAGAGCCAACCACCCGGGATACTCTTAACGCCAGGGCTTTTAGTTTGTTATCTGTTGCCGGAGTATCCGGGTTTTGCCAGGTTCTATCTCGTTTTTCAGTTCTTTATGCTTTTTATTGTTTGCTATTATCCTTGGTTAATCATTAATATTGATGAAATTGTGCAATAAATAGGTAAGCATACCACTAGGCACACATGATGGTCTCCCTATAGCAGTTTCGTTGCTCGCGAATCATGGCTTAGATGGATTCTTGCTTAATTTTGTGGAGAGCATTGACACCACTCTCAAAAGGCAGTAAAATGGTATCTGAGAATTTTACTTGCTGAATTTGTTTACATAACTGTAATTTTTACTTTATACGCTGCTTATATACATCTAGTTAAAGGGTTCACGATAATTAAGAATCAAGAGAATAAAAATGGCTCACTATGTTCAAATCTTTTTCTTGAATCACTTCTGTGTGTACGCTAAAAGTCGATGAATGTAAAATTTGCTTTGAAAATTTGAGTGGCCAAAATCTCTCTCTTTTATACTATGTGTGTGTAATATACTTTTCATTTTCTTTTGGTGACAATTATATGACTTCATAGGGATATTTATCATATACGGTTGAATTCTAGAGCCACGATAATTGAAGTGCCGTGTCCTAAAGTAAGGGTTGGATAATATTGACTTTACATAATTTGAATTTTATTCAAATAATCAATCTTACTCAAACACTAATCACTACATGATTGAGCCCCAATTTGGGTCATATTTTCTAGGGAATGGAATGAGAATTCGGACCGTTGATTCCAAATTGCAGTCGCACGCATTGACCGTTTCTTTTACCGTGGATTCTGTCTGAGATCTCAACGGTCAGAATTGTCTACTAATTTCCTAAAAAATGTCCCAGACAAGGGCTGAAACTGTATCCAATTACTAAACAATATAAAATGTTATTTTATATCTATCCACACACGTGTAGTAACCAAGGAAATTCTTTTACCAATTTTTTTAAATAAAAAAACGTAGAATTTGGATAACAGTAAATGAAGTTTGTAATATCAATTTTATGATTTACACTTATCAAAATCAAAATAGGAGTATGGTTAACAATTTATAATTGTCAAACTCAGGTTACCATATATACTACATTACATACCAAAAATCATGGCTAAAGTCATTTGATTGTAAAGATGGAATTGAATTGTCTTGAAAATGAATTTTAGGAAATTGAATTGTTTAGAAATTATTTTTCTGGAAATTGTAAATTATTGTATTTGATTAGTATAATTTTTCAAGTGGAAAATGTTGAAATGAAAGTGTTTTTTTGGTGTTCGTTTGATTTTGTTTTACATGAAAATTGTCAATCAAATGGATATAATTTATTGGTATTAGGATGAAATTTATTTCCATTGCCAAAACCAAAAAAATTAAAAAAATCAAGAAAAACATTTTTCTTTTAGTGTTCGTTTGACTTTGTTTTACATGAAAAATGTCAATTAAAGGGAAATATTTTTTTACAATAATTTATAGAATTTGTTTCTATTATCAAACAATTTAAAAAAAAAAAAATGCTAATTCCAATTCTCACCATTTTGGTGAGAATTTCAATTCTTTGAATTTGTGGAATTTGGCTTATATGGCACTCAAGTTGAAAATTCAATTCCTGGTTAAAAAAAAAAAATGCTATCAAACAATGTTAAATTGGAAGGTGGAATTCCAATTCCATTTTCTATGGAATTCCACTTCCAATCAAACACATCCTAAATAAGTTATCAATTAACTTTAAGTTGTATTTTTATAATAAAAGCTGTTAATAAAATTAGTATAATATTAAAAAGATTATTTCAGGGAATTATTGATAAATAGAAAAGAAAATGATTTTTTTTTTTAAATTTCATGTTGAAGAAATTGAATTAATGTTGTGAATTAAGTATTAGCAAAACTAAAATTAAATAAAAATATAGTGGGTATGTAGCTAAATATGAATTTAATTAATGTTACTAATTAATTATCAATAAGATTAAAATTAAATAAGGGTATATTAGGTATATAATTAAATATGTAAGGGTGAATTGGGTATTCAAAAGTTTATCCTCATTTATTTTATTTTATTTTAAAGCGTGTTGTTGTAGTAGGGTGTACTTGATTTGGAAAAACCAAATTTCCCCCTTGATTATAATTGTTTTGATTTGAACTTTTGAAGCAACAAACAACTTTAGTACATTATATATGAAATCCTATATAAGCATGAGCGTTGTTTGTCAACAAATAACGACAATGAGTGCACACAAACTTCTAACTGTTTGATTAGCCGAAGTAACAATTCTTTTACCTATCAACTCTAACTTAACTTTCGTCAAGATTGCTGTTTACAATACTTGACTATATCGAGGTATTCTTATTAAAATTAATCAAAGTCAAATGTACTTTGAACGATTATTTCTAGATCTTTAATGAGTCTTCTGAAATGTTATTTCTTGATATTGGTTCAATCTTGTATTGAGAGTTCTATTGTATGTATAAATTGTTTGTAGAAATGTAGTTTTGCATTTGTTACTGATGCATACAATACTTTTTATTATAAATAGTATTTGAATTGACTAATACTTTTATGTATAAAAAAATATTATTTACATAACAAGAACCCTTATAGTACACCTGCTATATATTATCTTCCCTTTACATTATAAGTGGCTAATTATTTGCAAAACTTGCACGTTTGAGATATGAAAGTTGTGTCTCGAGTATGAATTAAAGTTTTCATTGAGAAATTACAAATTATAGATACTTATTGTACATGTATATAACACAAATTTTGATGCATCCAAAACTAACACAATTGTAAGATACTACTCAAGAAAATTTAAAGGTAACATTACATAAATGGGGATTTAAATGCATCTCAGGTCATTATACTTTCAATGAATATGCAATTGGGTCATTCATCACTCAACTTTGCTTTGCACACTATTTTTTATGCTCCATCTATCATAGTTCGTTTAACTATCGTGATGTGCTGATTTGGACGTTATAACTAATGGAGGGATGACATATGAAAAATAAAAACAATAAGTTATGCAACTTATGTTTTCTCTTCCTTGAAGTATGTTATTCAATAAGCTAAAAAAGACATAACATCATCCCTCCATTAATTTTAAAGTCCATGTCAACTTATTACGTTGGTTAGATTGATGACAATAGATAGAGCGACCATGGCTATAATGCAAATTAGATTATTTAGGGTTATGTAAATAGAGCTTTTAAGAAAATTTCTCCGGCCATTGGCTAAAAACATTCTAAGTATTATTTGTAATACAAACGAGCTCTAGTACCTGAAATGAATTCTGATTGGGTTCCATGTATTTTATACAGACACAGTCCGTCTTTGAAATGAAATACTTTGTAAAAACACTTAACTCATTGCCAAAAATGAGTATAAGTTTCCTTTCAAATTATATTGATTTAAAATTATTATCCACGTTAGAACTAAATAGTCGGCCCCATTGTCTCTTCAAAGGCACATAAATCTGGCGCAGCATTTGTCTACACTTGCATTAGAACCATCATTTCTTGGACGCCTTGATATGGAACAAACACTCGTTGAGGCCCAGAGCTATGACATGTAACCCCTACGGAGCACTCACAACATCGGGGGTTGGGGTTGGGAGGGCTTTTGGGCTATTTTTCATACCGAGACCCACCTGCTGTGAGGGTCGATAGGGTGCCCTGGTAAAACACCAAAACTCTTTATTTATATATACTCTGATTAGAAGTATAGCGATATAAGCTGATAAGCATTTGTATGAAATTTTTAGAAACTAGCTACAGGCTTTCAATGCCTGTGCAGCTTGAAAGAAATCACCCTCATTATTGTTATATTGCTTTCCTAATTTAGCTTACACCCCCTACCCCCTCAATATTTAATCAGTGCTAACAGCTAAAATAAGATTTATTTATCTTTTTCCCACATTTTTTTGCTCTCCATATTTATTGGACACTAAAGTTCAGTTGTCAATTAAACCATTTCCACGTGCATTAAAAGATTTAAATTTGATAGCTCGTGGAAAGAGATATTTGTTTTCAATCAGAAGAGTGTCGAGTTGCTGGGGTAAACTTCCTTCCGAGGCCCTTGGCTACAAAACATGATTGCTAACACAGGTCTATGAAGGTTTCACTGCCTATCGAGTATAAAATTGGTCTTCTTCTCTGCATGCTGTCATTTTGGATACCAATGCCTATTGTCCAATATTGTTATATCTATTTGAGAGTACTGAAGTATGAAATATTGCTATTATGGATGCAGATGCTTTGAGTACATGTGACGATTCTATGATTTTCGAGGTCTGAGGCGAACATCATAAATTAGGCCCCAAAATTTTAGTATACATGCAAAATCTACAAGTGTATTATGAAGTCAATAGTTAACTTATTAATTTAAAAGTTAACAATAAAATGTAATATACAAATGGTTGATATTATAATCAAATAATAAAGCCGACAATGTTTCAAATGACCAGTTAAATACTATTCGTCTTGCTATTTTAGAAGCAAAAACAATGTTGAAATTTGAATGATCTACCTGTTCAATCATTTATTTCTCAACTGATAATATAGTCAATCAATTCAATCTTTCTTATGATATAGTTGATCGAGGATAAGATAAGTTAACAAAATTTTGTAAGTAACATAAGCATTTGATATGTCTTCAAATATTGTAGCACTTCAATTACTCTCGTTGTTTCACTTAGTATATAGCACCTTAAGACATGTAACTCAGAATATAAATCATTTTCGTTAATATCTGAACGTCCATTAAGTTCTCGAGACATCTCAAGATTCATACAGTGCTTCAACAAATCGAAAAAATTGTACGCCTTAACCTTTCCAAATTTAATAAAAATCCAAATATTTCTTCATATTTTTAAATTATTCATATATATAATCTTAGAGAAGATATATGTTGATTAGTTATAAAAAGGAAGTATTCAATTTAAAAGATTCTTCAACCGATTGATTTATCTAATCACTACTAATTTTGTCAAATTGTTTCTTTATTCAAATTATACGTTTTTATCAAAATACATCTTCATTATCCATTTTACTTGCCCTTTTTGTCGGTTTATCCATGATAATAGCAAATTGAATTTATCTATAATTTTCAAGAAATGAAATAATTCCTTGTAAGAGGTCAATAACCCCATCGATATCCATATTTTTGATTTAATGAAATTTACTCATAATATTGACTGCATACAACAACCTAAACCAGATTACTATGTTAAGCAAGAACTCAAAATTTCGAAGTTCATATATCGCTGTTACGTGTTTGCTCACTTGGATAACCCACCGGGGCCCACAGCCAACTCATGCTGAACCACGTGGCACTCAAGCCGAGGTGATTTGCATAGCCGAGGCCCACAAATTGAGGCCCACAGAAGCCTAGGCCCATATATACCGAGACCCATCTATTATTGTCTCTTGAGGAGCTTCCGAAGTCCATATGTCGAGTTCCTTTGAAG